CGCCTCCGAGGGCAGATTGGCAGCTCCAACCAGGCTTCCCAAGAAGAGAGGCCCCCGCTCTCACCTTGGCCTGGGGGCTGAGGCCGTAGCCGGTGAAGAAGTATTGCCACTGGGGGAGCCCCAGGTGGGTGACCATAAGCCGGTAGTAAGCGATGAAGGAGCTGGTGAGGAAGTGCCAGTAAAGGGCTCGGTCCAGGAACCAGATTTCCGATGCTGGGCTGGGAACTAAGGTCAAGGAAACAGAAGAGAAGGCCAGGAGTTAGGAAAACAGGTCAAAAAATCTTTTCTTCCTGCAGCAAAACTTCACTGCCTCCATTCAGACATTCCCGCCTCAGTTTCCCTGCCAGCTCACGAATGCAAACCCAGAATATCTGCTGTGTTCTGACCCAGCTGCTCAAACACGGCAAACCCTCCGACGTGAACTCAAACGATTCCTTGATTAGAAGCGCCGGCAGCCCCGGCAAAAAGCTTCACTTGCAGGCTAACAAGTCTGTCCATCTGGGGGATGAATAATTGTCTGCCACACTTACTCATCTCTGCCCTCTTCATTTTATCCCCAGAGCTCAGGTGGGGCTTTGCTAGCAGCTGTGGCTCTTCCGTCCCAAGGACCAGCCCATAGATTTCCACTGCTCTCCTCTCCTCTGCCTTCTGGGCATTTGCGCGTCAGGCAATGGACTCAGCTGTTCCTCCTCTTCCTCATCAGCCACCTCCAGATCTGGGGGGCGGTTGACTCTCCATCTGAGGGCTGACGGACAGCCCAGGCTCCAACCCCACCTTCCCCTCAGAGCTCTCAGGTTGCCTTGATGCTAATCTTGACTCCCATACCTCCTCCTCCCCCTCTGATTCGGCTTCTATTGTGGCTGACCGGCCACAACAATTTGGCTGAGTTAACTGAAATTTGGTTCGTTAGGAGTGAAAAATCTCTCTAGGAGGCAGTGAGTTCTAGTTCCATCTTAGGCATGAAATCCGGGTGGGTGACTGAGCCAATCACCAGCAGACTGTGAATTCTAGTCCCGCCTTAGGCATGAATGTTGGTTGCGTAACCTTAGGCTAGTCACACTGTCAGTCCTATCTACCTCACAGGGTTGTCGTTGTGGGGAGCTGGAGGAAGATATGTTGGATATGTTTGACAGCCTGAGTTATTTGTAAAAACAATAAAGGCAGGAGATAACCAACTAACTAACTAACCAACCTACCTACATTAACTAACCAACCAACCAATCTACCTAAATTAACTTACTAACTAACCCAAACTAACTTAACTAACCAACCAAACTACCTAAACTAACCTACCTACCTAAACTAACTAACCAACTTGCCTAAATTAACTAACTAACCAACCAATCTACCTAAACTAACTTACTAACTAACCTAAACAAATTAAACTAACCAACCAAACTACCTAAACTAACTAACCTACCTAAATTAAATAACCAACCTAAACTAACTAGCCTACATACCTAGCTAAACTAACAAACCAATGTACCTAAACTAACAAACCTAAACTAACTAACCAACCTACCTAAATTAACTAACTAACCAACCAATTTACCTAAACTAACTTACTATCTAACCTAAACTAACTTAACTAACCAACCAAACTACCTAAACTAACTAATGTACCTAAATTAACTAACCAACCTAAACTAACTAACCTACATACCTACCTAAACTAACAAACCTAAACTAACTATCCAACCAACCTAAATTAACTAACCAACCTACTTAAATTAACTTACTAACTAACCTAAACTAACTTAACTAACCAATCAAACTACCTAAATTAACCTAACCTACCTAAATTAACTAACCAACCTAAACTAACCTACATACCTACCTAAACTAACAAACCAACCTACCTAAACTAACTAACCAACCTAAATTAACTAACCTATCTAAACTAACTAACCAACCTGCCTAAACTAACCAACCAAGGTACCTACCTACTTATCTAAACTAACTTAACTAACCAATCAAACTACCTAAATTAACCTAACCTACCTAAATTAACTAACCAACCTAAACTAACCTACATACCTACCTAAACTAACCAACCAACGTACCTACCTACCTACCTATCTAAACTAACTTAACTAAGGGCATGTCCACCTTCCCCAAAACTGGCCAGCCAATCAGACCCATAGAATTTCCCACCTTGTCTCCCTCAACGTCCGTAAAGGTCTCGGCTTCCCCACGGGAACCCTCATTACTTGTCAAGGGCCCCCCCAATAAGGGTTGAAAATAAACCATGATTCTTCTCACTGCTATGCTGTTTCTGACAACTGTCAAGTTCCGGCCCAGCCTTGACCACGATTTGTGGCTTAGGTTAGCAGTGCTCGGATTCATCCAACGCTGAAACCCAGAAGCCGTGGTTTACAAACCACGACGGTTACGTTCGCAAGGCCGATTTAGATCCTGGTTGGTGAA